AGCAGGCTCTTCGGTAGGAGGCACTTTAGTAGGTGCTTTAGTAGGCACTTTAGTAGTAGGCACTGTGCTACTAGCGTTGTTATTGCTAGCGCTGCTAGCGGTAGCACGGTTGTTGTTGCTTCGTAATAAGCCGGCTATTATAATAGGGAGTGATACTAATAATGTATTATTAGCCCCTAAGATGCGGATATAGCGGAATTAGTAGATATTAGTCTAGTACGATTGACTTAGTATAATAGGCCGTATAGAAGGCCTTGCTTAATGATTGGTACGGTTGTTTCGATAGAATAGTACGTATAGGTCCCGTTCTTCGGGCGCAATATAGTTAGATTAGTCTTGTTCGTAGCCGTACCGCTAAAAGCTTGAAATAAGGACTATCTAGCTACTACCCTTAAAGGGTGGATCGAATACTATATAAGAAGGGTATATTAGTAGGTAGATAGGGTAGTAGTAGATATAGGTAGTATTCGATAAGGAGCTAGGAGAAGAGGGAGGAAGGTAGGCAAGTTAGCCTATTACTAAGCGCTAAGCCCTGCCTAAGGCATTAAGACCCTAGCTTTACTCGAGCCCGGTTACATACTAATTACGTACAACCTCTTTGGTCCTAACACTATAAGACTCGCCTTACAACTTATAGTAACCCGGAACAATCGCTAGCCTTTAAGGACTGCTTTAAATTACGGTACGAGTAAGATAAACTAGCGGATTAAGGTATAGTAGCGCTAGCAAGCACCCGTACTAAATAGCTAGAGAGGCTATTTCTACGAGTTACGACGCGAGTTACTATACGATACTAGGCTACTAGCGGACCGGATTGCCTTGCTTATAATCTATATACTAATTATACGTAATAAAGTCCTTAAATTTGTCTACCTCTAGAATAGCTATCGTATCTAAAAGTAGGCTAATTAACTATACGTTATACTAGGTATTCTATATATTCTATACTATTATCTAGAGCTTATCGGGTATTCTTATTAAAGTATTCTTATACCTAACGGCGTACTTAGTAATATAAAGTAAGATCTTTAAGGATTCGGTATATATTAGATTCTATAGTACTCGCTATAGACTCGCTATAGACTCGCTAGTAGACTCGCTAGTAGACTCGCTAGTAGACTCGCTAGTTCCTAGATCTTAAAGCCTACCTACCCGAGGCTACGCTTTCTTAGTATTAGACAGTAGTAAGCCTACCTACCCGAGGCTACGCTTTCTTAGTATTAGACAGTAGTATAGATTTATAGCTTCTCGTATCTAGTAACTAGTAGCGAGAATAGCGATAATATAGACCGCCTTTACTACTCTACTTACTTGCTTCTTCGATAGCTAGCTAGGGAGTATATAGCTATAGGGTTAGAGCCGGAACTAAGAGAGTTAGATAAGCTATTAGTAGTACGTAGTTAGTTAGCGGCGTCTTAGAATTAGGAAGCTAGGATAATTAAGTTTGTAAATAGTATATACTAATTAGCGATCTATAAGCCGGTCGCGAGTATATAGCGAGCCGCTTTTTCTAGTTCGATTTTATCTATAGCCTTCTTAAACCTCTACTATTTCTACCTCTATTTATCTAATAATATATACTAATTAGGGTACCTATCGTACTAAATTAGGCGTCGACTATATAAAGATATATAGCAAATACTAATACTGTTTATAATACGGCCTTCTTAATCCCGATCTACTAAGCGAGTAATTTGTTCGCGAGCAATTAGTAGCCGCCGCTACGAGTAGCTCTACGAGTATACTACGAGGCTTTAATACGTTCCCCTTTATACCTAAGGCAGCTAATACTATACGCAATACTACTAGTTAGTGTTATAAGCTAATAACTCGAATACTAAATTCTAAATCTTAGAGCCTCTTATATCGTCTACTAATACCTACTTTAGCTTTAGCTTTAGTAGACCTAAAAGTATAGGAATATCTTTGCTGCTATTTAATCTATACTTAGTATATAGAAGTCAAGCTTGCGAGTATAACTAAGATATAGTTCTTCGGTAAACTAGTCCTATATTCTACTATCTTAGATACCTAGTCTAACTAAAAATTTAAAGAAGCTAATATGCTATTTATAGACTAGATTATAGACTAGATTAGCGCCTACGAGCTACTAGATAGTAGTATTAATCGAATCGAGAACTATTTTATCTACTTTCTCTATATAGGCTTTAATAATATAACTAATTAGCTAGAGAAGGTAGCAAATAAGGCGCTTAGATTACTTAGATAGGCTTTAATAGTCTATAAACTAGCAACAAAGTTATTATTAGTCTATAAGATTAAACTCTATATCTATACTAAGTAGGAGAAGTAATAAAAGCGGATATATTAGTTAAGTACTATTACTACGAGTACTAGTACGAGTAATATAGCAATTAGCGAGTTAGTAAAAGGTATTTTATAGTAATTAAGATTAAGAAAGAAAAGCAACAAACTAAGAAGGTTATTAATATAAATTAGCTACCTAAGACAATCGACTTAAGCGGCGAGGCTACCGTAAGTATACCGTAAGATACGTCTATTCTAAAAGGGTCGAGCAGATCTAAGGATTAGTAACCTACTAATAGTTAAATAGATAGGCTAATAGCGGTAGATAGGCTAATAGTAAAGCTAGTAGCGGATAGACTAATAGTAAAGTTAGCGGCGGATAGGTTAATAGTAAAGATAGCGGCAAATAGGCTAAGAAGATAAAGCGTAGTTAACGACTAAAGAAGAAGAAATAGAATAGTAGACTTATAGTAGACTCGTACTTCTTCTTTCTTTTACTATCTCTAAGACCTCTAATATCTCTAAGACCTCTAACTTAGATATTATCTTTTAGTAGCTCGCGATTCGTATCTAGCTATAGCTCCTTCTAAGTAGTATATATATCGCGAGACTTAATAATAGCCTTATTTATAAAGTATCGTTCAAGCCCTATAGTGCTTGTCCTAATCGAGCGGAGCGACGGAATAGCGCTTAAGAACAATATTAGATTAGCGCTAAAAGCGCTTACGCTTCAATATTATTGCATTCTATCTACTCGAAGGTCTTATCGTCGTCCTATATCTGCGCTATAGCCAAGTCTTCCTCCTAATTACGACGCAGTCTGTTATTAAAGGCCTCTTAACGCATTTGTTCTTCCGCTATTGCAATCTAAATACGTGTCTCTTTATTAATCTGTTCATCGTCTAGCCCTATATTGCTCTTTCTTTGCCCTTTCACTATTAAAGGTCGCTATAGATTATAGTTTGTTTTACTATAGAAGGCCGCTATAGGTTACTTGCGGAAGAGGCAGGCATAGGGGTATCGTATCGTATAGTGCTAGTCGTATCGCATAGTATTAGTCGTGTCGTATAGTATTAGTCGTATCGTATAGTGTTAGTCGTGTCGCATAGTAGTAGTCGTGTTATATAGTGCTATTAGGAGGATAGCGGTGTTGGCGCATTATAGTGTTGCCTTTATTGCCTTTATTGTTATATAGCCTAAGGTTGAAGGGCACGTGACTCGGATTCGATTTTAGACCAATTAGAGGGCTCGGTTAGTTTTGCGGGCGCGTCTTTGAAATTCAGCCTCCCTATACTATAACTGCCTGTATACTACTATTACTGCTACTACTAACTATACGTATACGTTATTAGCACTAATCTGATTTGTTCTTAAGCGCTACTCTAGACTAATAGACACCTTACACAACTCTCGTCGCAAGCTCCTCGAGTTGCTCTAGGTGCCTATTAGTCTATCGCTCCGCTCGAATAAGCTATTTAAACTATAAGAGGCAATATCCTTCTAACCTATTAAACCTAGCTTTAGGTACCTTAATCTTTGCCTCTAATATAGTATTCTTTGCCTCTATAGCCTCGACTCGCGCCTATATCGCGGCTAGCTCGCTATTTCTATTATTTTCTTTAACCTCTAAACTACCCGTATAGCTAGACTTGCCTTTATACTTATAGTAAGCGTAGACTCGATCGCCCTTAGTATTAAATATATAATACTTAAAGTTATTAGAGCGTATATAGTAGTAGTATAGCGCTAGTATAAGCTTACTAGAGTCTGTTTCTATAGTAAGTCTAGTAGCCTTATATTTCTATAGTCTATCTAATACCGCCTTCTTTCTATCTAATATAGCTATTTAATCGAGTAGCTCTTACTATATCTCCGCGCTATAATACTAGAAATTGTAGGTATTTATAGTTATAGGGCGTCGAAGTCTAGAGTAAGTTAGTAGCGAGTCTATAGCGATACGCCTCGCGACTTATAATAAATATTCTCCTTCTCCTACTATTAAGTACGCTACTAAAGCTAGAGCTAAAGCTAAAGCTAAAGCTACGCTAAAAATAAAGTCGCGCGGAATACTGTTTATAGCGGCTACTACTATCGATAGAAAAAAAATATTATAAAGTAAAGCGCGAAGTTATAGCGAGTCTAAGTAAGGTTTATCGCGATAATAGGCATAGTAAAGTTGGTAAGGAAGGTATAGGAATAATAGAAAGCGATAATAGGCTTAAGTAAAGCTATTGAGCCTCTAGTGTGTATAGAGCTCCGTCTGCGGAGCGCTAGGACGTCACTTGCTTCTCGCGGAAAAACAAATAACGAAGACCTGCCAATCCTACGCAACTCTCGGACGGTCCGTCAAGCACTGACAACGACAACATGGCCTCGATACAAGAGCTGGACACGCAGGTCAATCTGCTCCGCAAGCAGGTCGCGGCCACGGCGAGCCAGCTGGCCTCGCTGAAGCAGCAACTCCAGCAGACCGAGAAGCGCGTCGAGACTGCACGTCTGCTGCAGGCTTCATACCAAGGCGGCTTTCCTGCTGAGTGGATCGGCGAGACGCTGTCTGCACTCACTGATGACCTTCATGGCACCCTTTCGCACCAAATGTACACCGGCTCGGAGAACTCAGCGGGCAGTCCGGAGGCCATCGCAACGTCCATTCTTCAAGAGATAGGAATTGGTGAGCGAGAGTTCGTCGCTCCCGAGCCAGCGAGCACGGGACGCTGGCCACTGCTCGCTGAGGAATACAAACGATACGGCAGGCAAATGATGATGCCTGAAATCGGCCTGCATGGCCAACTGCGATTGAAGAAGGCGAGAGTCCTCGTTGTGGGTGTCGGTGGCTTGGGCTGTCCGGCTGCAGCGTACCTTGCAGGCGCTGGAGTCGGCACGCTCGGCCTCATGGACGGCGATGTTGTCGAAGTGTCAAACTTGCATCGCCAAGTCGCGCACAGCACAGCCAAAGTGGGCAAGAGCAAGGTGGACAGCGCATGCGAATATCTCAGCGAGTACGTAGCTCCTCCAAACACAGCCCTACACGATCGCCTTTCTGATCTATCATGCTAGCTTGAACCCTCTGGTGAAATACCAGCGCCACCGCTTTGATCTTTCGTCTGAGAAGACCATCCACATCTTCTCGCAGTATGACCTGGTCCTTGACTGCACAGATCACCCTACTTCTCGCTACCTCATCTCAGATGGATGTGTGCTCACTGGAAGACCGCTGGTGTCCGCTTCGGCGCTCAAGTCCGAAGGGCAGTTGATTGTCCTCAACAATCCTCCACGACCGCCAGGCGATATGTCCGGAGGGCCATGCTATCGTTGTGTCTTTCCCAAGCCGCCCCCAGCAGATGCCGTCCTGTCATGCGGCGAAGGTGGTATCCTTGGCCCTGTTGTTGGCGTGATGGGCGTCTTACAGGCCCTCGAAGCAATAAAGCTCCTCACAGCCAAACCAAAAATCCTACCCAAATCCTCCTGCGAAAGGGAACTGGAAGAAATCATGGGCATGACACCTGGACCAGAAGGGTCACAAGAAGAGCCCGTCAGACCGACACTTCTTATTTTCTCCGCCTACTCCAACCCGCAATTCCGTTCGGTGCGAATGCGCACTCGTCGAGCTGACTGCGCAGCGTGTTCTTCTCAAGCGAGCGTCACCCAGAACAGCCTAAATTCCGGATCTCTGGACTACGCCACTTTCTGCGGTCTTACCAACCCACTCAACATCCTCCCGCCTACATCACGCATCTCAGCTTCAGAATTTGCCCGCCTTCCCCGCGACGGTAGCAACATCCTCATCGACACTCGCGACGCGACACAGTATCAGATGTGTGCTCTCAGAGGTAGTGTCAACGTGCCTTGGACCGGTAGTTCAGAATCTTGGCTCGAGAAAGCTTGCCAGTCCGCTGCTCTGACGGGACGTGGACGTGATTACTACGTCGTGTGTAGAAACGGAAACGATAGTCAGCTGGCGGTACAGGCGATACAGGCTCTGCTGGACAACCAGATGAATGGCGAGGGAGGTGGTAACGCAGACATTGTGGTGAAGGATATCAAAGGTGGCTTTAGAGCATGGAGGCAAGAAGTGGATAGCGATTGGCCGGACTATTGATGGAGCCCCAATATAATGCCATTCGAGAACTACAACGTCTCCTTGCTGCTCATCGTAAAATGGTCTTTTGGCCGACTCAAAAGCCAATGCTCACTTCCAGGTGACTGCCTACTTTATTTTTGAAATGATGTCGCCAACGCTCGCTCGACACCGAGACGGCCGATAAAGAAGTTGACCAAGTTACTTGGACGAAGAAACTGCTTGGAAGTTTCGGGCTCAAATTACTGGCGGGAGTGAGGAGATGGATGAGCAAGGAAGAAAAGAATTTGAGTTTGGGGGGGGGGGGGGGCCTTACAGCCCGAGAGTAGAGTAATGGGTTGGAAGGGTGGGTAATTTGGAGGAAGGATGAATCATATGTATCAAACTCTCTCTGTGCATATTTCTCGTCCGTCTATCACTGTCGCCATATGTACATCTCTCATCAAGAGGGGGATCCTGATATCTTATCTCTACACTCTGTCCATCCGACAATATGCAACAGCAGTGAAACGCCAACGCTAATCAATCATTCCAGCATACTCTTCTCACTCTCGAACCAGAGCTCGGCAAGCTCGAGCCCCTCGATAGTTCCGGCATCGAGCGTTGACCCGGACATTTCCCGCTCTGCGGCTGACTTTTCATTATCGTCATCAGTAGGCGTGAGTGACGAGGAGGCATCAGCCTTCTAGACAAATGCTCTCCCACCTCGGCCACTTCCAGAAGCGCTTCCATCCCTCGGACTATGTATAGGCTCATTATAAAGGTCATCATCATAATCGTCGTCATCACTTCGTCTTCGTCCAGGAGCTCCAAGATCACCAGTACTCGTGCCAATGTGTTCAGGACTTGACGAGGCGCCTGAAGTGACTTGCCATTCGTCGCTGTCTCGCTCTGGCGACTCACGCTCTTCTGCGTAAGTGGGTAAGACTTTGTGGCTGTCACCATGCACAAGTCCAAGCCGCTCCTCTTCTGTCGTGTTGTTGCCGGTTGGGTACTCTTTGCTTGAGCGTCGGCTCGCGAAAGATAAGGCGCCTCTACTAATGGGCCTTGAACCGTCCGCAGAGCCAGCATCGCTCCTATTTCGCGAGAAGACATTCGTCACATTCTGGAACGAGAACTGCCTTCTTGCACTGCCAGCCCCATGCGGAGGAGGTCTAGGAGGGGCAAGGCTACTGCTCTGGCTGTCCGCTCGATCGCGCTCTCCTCCAGCCCAGTGTATATGCTGGCTTCCCGAAGCTGATGCAACAGGACTCTTATATGCGGTATCCGAATACTCGTCATCGTGCCTTCGAAGGCCTGCAGGAAGGCCATACACATGCGCTTCGGTATCAGACGGGTCTGCCTGGACACTATCTAAGGGCACCGGACTATGCCCTCGTTGTCGTCGTTGTGTGAAGTTTCGTCCAATTCTACCGAAGAAGCCGGGATGCACTTCGCTGTCAGGTTCTGACACCTGATCTGAGTCCGGCATATGCGACATGCCTAGTGGAGGATGGATGGTCTTTGTCCGCCGTACTGAGCCGCCTTGCGTCGATACGGTCTTCCGTCTTCGAAGTCCGTCCCATTCTACTTCCTCGTTCTCGCCGATTGGCTCCATGCGCTCTTCGTGTATGCGCTTCGCTTCCTCTGCTTCACGTCTCGTGCGTACGGTGCTCAGTGCACGAACAATACCGGCACCACCACGAATCGTGTCTGCACGAGGCTCATATTCCTTCTCTTCAACTTCGGCGACGGTTCTGATTTGATCGAGATCACCACTGAGCACTTTCGTATCGGGGACATCTTTCGATGATTTCGCCAGCTGTAACAGAATGACTCCAGAGCAGATGGTCAGGAAGCCCATGACTACATCGATGATCTGGGTCGATGTGCCATGAAAGCCACGGAACAGAACGGCCGAAGTTACGATGGTGGCGGACGTGAAGTAGACGTAGTAGGTGGGTGTTACCAGGGCGGCGTTGAAGATGTTGAGTGCTTTCTGGTAGGTGTTAGTATACCGAGTGTGTATGAATGGGGGGGGGGGGGGGGGGGAAGAAACCCACATTCAGGTAGATGATCTCAGTCAGAAGGGTTCCAATGACGAAGACGAAGAGCACGTAAAGGAACCACTTATTGAACTGGGACTGGCCGCTGATCTGGGCAATGATTGCAGAACCCAGGCCTTGCGTTGCCACCACACTAAGACCTCCGATCAGGCTGCATATGGTCAGATACACCAGCATGCTCTTCTTCGCGTATCGTGGGGCGAGCCAGAGAGCAACAAAGGTGCAGCCAACAATGATGACGCCAGCGTAGCTCAAGAAGCCGGGAGCAATGACATAGTGTTGCATTTCCTGAATGTTGCTGACAGCGGATTGTTCGGGAGCATTGAGCGTGATGACGACTGAGCCGACGATGCAGAGAAAGCAAGCCACCCAACCCACGAAGCTCAGTCGTTCCTTGAGGAAGATAGACGACAAGATAGCTGTGATTACGACTGATAGGGCTCCGAGTGGTGTCACCAGAATGGCGTCCACAAATGCGTAGGCAACAAAATTGCAGATCTCGCCAATGATCATGAGTGTCATGCCCAACCACCACCAAGCGTTCTTGAGGTATCCGTAGCCTTCTCCCGCCTCCTCATTGTACTTCACATTGGCTTTGAGCAGTCCCACCTTTTTGATAACGAAGGAACAGCCGATGAAGAGACCCGAGCACACTGCCAGTATGATGCCAACAATCTTGTAGTATCCAGGTCTTTCGGGTTTCGAGGATGCCGCGGATGTCGATGAGGGGGTCGCACTGCTGGTGGCTGTGGCCGTCGCTGCTTCACCGGTTGCTCGAGCTACGAGGTTGGCGGCGTGGAAGATGACATGGCCCGCAGCGTCCATGGCGAGGCACGCTGGTCGAGCGCAGGCGCTGTAGGGAAGATGGGGGAGGTGGGGGAAATGGATGCGGTTATGGCGTGCAGATGTAGAGCGACAACATAGGATGCAGTCTTCCCCCAATGTATTTAGCAATGCTTCGCTTCCCAGTTCTTCCGATGGCCTCGTCGCACTTTCTCGTGCTGCGCACCGTTGAAAGTCGAGCGTGGAAGCGCCGAGTCGTGCTTCTTCTACTGGGGGCCGCAGCGAAGAACTCCAGCGGTCGAAGAGAGGTAAGCGACTGACGGCGATGCTCTGAATCGAATGTTTATCATGTTTGGTTGCGCGAAGAGTGAGATCGTATCATATGCAAGCGAGCCTGGCCGGCATCAGGGCCGGATCAACACCGAACGGTGATGCTGTTTCACATTTCCCTTGCTGGCGCGTAACGTGTGCAGGCTGGCAGCATGTAGGGAGGCCTATATATACCAGAGGCTCAATGCGGGGCTTCTTACACTTCTTACCGCGATTACTACCGAATTTTTTATATTTAACCTTCTACGACTCGTACTATACTCGCTATTAACTCGTAGAATGCCTCTATATATCGATTTATCGCTATAGAAGGCTTAGGTACGTTACGAAAACTTTTTTACTAATCCTATCGATCCTATTAACCCTATTAATCGCGAGCGATCCCGAGCGATCCTAAGCTATCCTAGAACGATAAATAGGTAACTTATAAAAGTTAGACTTTTGCCTAATACTATACTAAAAATAGAACATTTTTGTACTATATTACTAAGCCGTAAACCTTCTAGATAAAGAGATATAAAGAAAAGAAAATCGCTTTTCTAGATATTTTACTTCTAATTTATCTTTTTTTCTAGTAGGTTTATAGCTTAGTAATATAGTAGAAAGGTACTCTATTTTTAGTATATTATTATAAAAATACTTTACTATTTTTAGAAATTTAAAAAATAGAACTTAAAGCTCTACCTACTAATAAGAGTATTATAAATTTCTAAGTCTTAATACCTAGTAGTTATCTTATAATCTAGAAAAGAATCTTAAGTATTTCGAGTATACTTTCTTTTAAAGTTCTACTTATTAAGCGTCGGCTTTTAAAAGAAACCTTAACGAAATATCGGCTATATTTAACGAAACCTTAACGAAAAAAATTTATTTCTAAAAAAAACCTACTAAACCGCTAAATTTAACCTATATTAGTGCGTAATACTCCGAAATACCTCGTAGTAGTATATAGAGTAGTAGTTACGGTAGTACTAGTAGTCGGGCTCTAACTTATCCTGCGTTCTTTACGTTCCTAGGCCTCGAATTTTAGGACGGCTTATCCCGAAATTTACGATCGCGACAATCCTATCCGATAGGATCTTTAATATACGATTCTAAGGATTCTAAGTAATCCTATCGATAGGATCGTCGCGATTAGAAAAAAAGTTTTCGTAACGTAGTATCTTAAGTCTATAGCGATACTATACGAGAAGTAATCGTATAGTACCTTATATAGGAGACTAGTTATAAGATATCTCTTAATATATCTAAACGAAGGCTTAAAGAGTAGAATATTAGTTATAGCTACTATACTTACTATTACCGAGTTAACGATATCGAGATACTAGAAATCCGGATCGTATATACCTTTTGTATTCTATAGTTAACTAATAAAAAGGCGGTTTAAGTACTATAGGCGGATAGGTTTAGGATTAGCTAGCGGAGATATTAATAGATACGTTAAGAGCTTAGATTAAAGCCTCCTCCTTCTACTAGTAAGTACGCTACTAAAGCTAAAGCTAAAGCTACGCTAAAGATAAGGTCGCGCGGAATACTAGTTATAGCGGCTACTACTATTAATACTAGTATCGGTATTAATATTAATATTAATAGAAAAAAAATATTATAAAGTAAGACGCGAAGTTATAGCGAGTCTAAGTAAGGTTCATCGCGATAATAGGTATACTAAGGTTAGTTAGGAAGGTATAGGAATAATAGGAAGCTCGTCCCTGCAGCGCACGGAAAAACTGCATGCGCCGAGAGCCGAGAGCATAGGATCGTTCTGACAGACGGAGGGCGAAGTGCAGTGTGCACCAACGAGTACGACATGTCGACTCCCGTCAATCATCCTCACCCTCACCCTCACCCTCACCCACACCCGCACCCGCACCCGCGCAGCCACATCTCTGCCCAAGACGTCCGCAATGCCTCTTCCGTCGACGACATCCGCGCCACTCTGCACGAGTTGTCGCAACGCGAAGCCGCCGTGACCGCCCGTCTCGACACGTTGCTTGCGTCCCAGCAACACCTCTCGCGCCAGCTCAATCGACTGCACCTCGCACGCGCCCAGCTCGCACCTCACGTCGTGGCAACGCGTAACATCAGCAATGCCATGCTATCCGATGCTGCCTCCACTGCGCATCGAATATCTGGCGCCGTGAAGAAGCTTGACCAGGAACAGGCCGCTGTGAAGGCCACGCTCCACGTCGTCGAGCAGGTTGCTGACCTGAAAGCATGTGTGCTTGGCGTCGATGGATCAATGGGCGCCTCGCAGCATTGGGAGACCGCGGCCAACTACCTTCACCGCGCTTCCCAAATTCCAGACGCCATCATCGATGGAGCATTTGCCGAAGAAATCGTCCCCACGGCAGAAGTGCCCGATCCTCCCAGGAAGACTCTGCATACCGCTGCGGAAAGTCTATGTGGCTTGTTCCTGCGAGAATTTGACAAGGCCGCGAGCGAGGGCGATGGAGCACGCGTGACTCGTTTCTTCAAACTCTTTCCTTTGATCGGAAGAAGTCACGTCGGTTTGGACGCATATGGCCGCTATGTGTGCAGTGGCATTGCATCCCGCGCCCGCAGCAACATGAGCTCTACCCGGCGACGAGATGGCATCTTCTACGCCACAGCCCTGACCAAGCTGTTTGAACACATCGCTCAGATCGTCGACGGACACGAACCGCTCGTGGAACGCCACTATGGTCAGGGCAGCATGACCAAAGTCATCGAGCGCATCCAGGTCGAAGCTGACTCCCAAGGAGCACTCATCCTGGACACATGGGCCGAAGAAAGGCAACTGACCAGAAGGCTGACTGATGTAAAGAGTTACCCCTTCAATTTCCTCGTGTCCAGTGCTTTGGCCTCACAGAAATCTGCCTTGCGACTCCGAAGCAGCTCGCCTGCACCCGCTTCAGGCCGACCGAGCGAGGATGAGAGTGTAGACACGAAAGACGTCGATGCCTTGCTCAATGAGTCTGCCATCATGCTGGGACGCTGGTCTCTGTACACTCGATTTCTGGCCACCAAGACGGCAAAATCTTCCGACGATACTCCTGATTCCAAGCTCCACGTTCCCGCTTTCATCGTACACAGTACATTGCAACGAAAAGTCACCGATCTCCTCATCGACCCATTCAACCAGATGGCCACATTCTTCTTCCGCCATTCTGTGGAAAAGGCTTTCCAGATAGACGAGCCACCGCAGGACTTGACCCTCAATCCCAACAAACAGCTTGGCGCAGCACCTCCCTTCATTACCTCCGCTGTGGACGACGTAATGTATATCGTCAACCAAGTTCTGCAGCGCTCTCTTGCCACTTCACAAAAAGCAGTGGCTTCGAGCGTCATACCTTCCGTCGGCAGGGTTCTTGGCTCCGACTTCTTCACAATGGAGCAACGCAAGATGAGAGACGAAAGCTATCCTAAACCCGCAGTCAAGGGAGCTTTACCGCCTGAGCAGCTCATCATTTCTTTCCTCGTGCTGATCAACAATCTTGACGTGGCCACCGATTATGTGAAGCGCATTGTGAGCAGTTGTCTTGGCAAAGCTGCAAGTCAGCCACAGGCACAGCAAAACGGCCACGCACCCGCTTTGACTGATAAATTTCCCTTTGGCAACGAAGCGATGGCAGTCGAGAAGAATCTACGCAGCATGGAGACAGGATTCGAAGCAAAGACTGCAGAGCTGATCAACGAAGCAGTCGAGGTAATGCTCAAGATGGTCATGCGGCCACGGCTCCGTCAAGTCCTAATGGAGACCTTCCGTGAAGTTGACTATGCAGTTGACACTGATGAAGCTGGCCAAGCTCCTGAAAGCGGAACCTCCGATGACCTTGTCCCACAGCGCTTCGAGCGCGGCTGGCAGGCTTTCACGCTTCCCATTAAGCGTATTGCCACCCCACACGTCTTCGACAAGCTGATCACAGGCACAACCAAGCAGCTCGCACGACTCCTGGAGAATCGTATTTGGAGCTACCAAGGTAGAGTGAACGAACTCGGGGCCGTTCGCCTCGAGAGAGACATTGCAAACATCGTCGCCGCTGCTGTTAAAGGTGGCAAATACGAGCTCAGAGACGCCTTTGCCAGGGGCACCCAAATGACCTTGATCATCAACATGGAAGACGATGAGTGGGAAGAAATTGCGAGGCTAAGTGGCGAACAATTAGAACGCGAAAGTGGTGTTCAGTGGCAGCTCGATGGCGAAGAAAGGAAGAGAGCTCGCAATGTTGTCAAGAATATGGCAAGATGAGGAGTGTTGCATCACAATCGTCGCACTGCCACAATGATGGCACGTTAGAGCTCGAGATCATGCGAATTCGCACTGCGACTGTCGTAGTTCCGATGCTGTGACTTCGCTTCTTTGCAACCGAGGAAAACCGGTGTCCTGGTTGCGAGACAGGCGCTGTTATCGGACAAAGCCGTGCGAACACGACGGAATGCAACAGGGCATTTGCAGCAGCTAATTTATATGTAGTACCTCTACATGCGCCGCATAGTGATCGCTGGCAAGTCGATCGCCCCAGAAACTTTTCCTGGCACCAGTGTTCTTGACAATCGAACATGTCTACAACGACCGATGCCACAACCATCATCATCGGCGCAGGCGTGACAGGCTTGGCATTGGCACAAGGACTCAAGAAATCGGGCATCCCTTTCGAAGTCTACGAACGTGCGCCATGCCCAGCGAGCAAGCGAAACTGGTGCTTCGGCATCCACTGGGGGTTTGATGCGCCGAAGGAACTCGTTCCGGAACATTTCCTTGACACTCTAGACGCTACACGAATTGATCCGCATATCGACAGCCAAGATGAAACACTCTATAGAGTTCCATTGTACGATGCTGCCTGCGGGAAACTCGTCAAAGAACTTCCAGGCAGCAAGTTCCATCGCCTCCGAAGTGACAAGTTCAGGGCTTGGCTTCTGCAAGACATCAAGACCAGTGTGCATTGGGGCAAATCTCCGAGTCGACTAGAGTATAGTGAGAACGGATGTTCTGTCAGAGGTACCTTTGAAGATGGTAGCACCGCAAGTGGCTGTTTGGTCATCGGCTGCGACGGTGCTCGTTCAAAGGTACGCGAACTGCTCTTGGGCCATGAGATGGCTGCACTTCACCCCATTGGTGACTTTGCCACCGCTATGATCTACAGCAAGCACACAAGAGAACACGAACTTCAGCTGCGCGCTAGGCCATTCCATCCTCTCTACCAGGTCGGGCTTCACAAAAAAGGCTTCGTCTCATTGCTTTGCGTTCACAATGCTGAAGACAAGAACCATCCTGAAGATTGGACGTTCTTCAATTACACGTCTTACCGCCTTCCGCCAGGCGTTGATCAGGGCCAGTGGAGAAAAAGAGAACTGATTCGATATCAGAAGAACATAATCAACGAAAATGATTTCGTGGGTCCTTTCAGGAGCATTTATTCCTGGCTGAGCGACGATGAGGAGAATGTGTGGTACACCAGACTCATGGTTTGGGATCCGCGAAGTCCTGACCATGCATGGCACAATCGAGAAGGAAGGGTTACACTGGCTGGCGATGCAGCGCATCCGATGAGCTTTCAGCGAGGTCAAGGTCTCAACAATGCTAGCATTTGCAAGATGCTCTAGAGCTGCGAAATGCCATGGCATCAGTCTGGCAGAAGGGTGGAGTTCAAGCGAGAGCTCGCAAGGAAGCCATCGACGCGTACGAGAAGCAGATGATCGAGCGCGGCGGTAACGAACTACAGCTCAGCAGAGAGAATACATTCATGGTCCATGGAGAGAACTTTCAGAACAGTCACCTCGCAACAAAGGGTCTAAACGCTAGAGGCCAGGCTTAGTCACACAGTGAAACCCGAGAATTCGGTATCGTAGAAGCTACCTATGTGCTCCACACCGCGGCCGGAGAGGTTGAGACACCTTTCAAGATACACATTGATGGGCTGCAAGTTCCTCCGCCCATACCACGTCTGAATATTGAGACAATGGCAGCTTACTAAGTTTCTGTAGTACCCTAGACGAATGCCAGGCGCTAATGCTTAAATCATGATGAAGAAGGTAAGGAAAAGACTATAGATCGACATTGCTACAGAACAATGATATTGAATTTCATCATTTTTCAAGCCGAAGAGCTCTGATCTCAAGTCCAAGTCCAGCCTTTCAGGCGATCAATAGGTTCCAGCAACATGACCACCACACAAAAATCTCTCCTGGCCACCGAAATTAGCCCTAGTCAACGACCATCACACCCCAGAACAAGTGTTGTTATTTGTCGCATCGAGGAAATGTGAGAAGCTGGCTTGGGACGGTAGGTAGTGAATAATGAGTACTTTCATCATCTGGTTAGTGTGGCGAGGTATAAGCATTTGCCTAGATATCTGGAGAGGGGAAGGAGACCACGCCGCCGAGGTATGAGATGAGGGAGCCGAGAGGACTGGAATGCGGATGTTGTCAATCAATCAGGCTTTGGATGGACATCGAGATGTGTTTGTAACTCGACTGTAGATCCCACTGTCTCCCACCAGAAATGAACCCTTCCACCATAACCTCTGCCTCCCTCTCCACTTCATCCCCCCGTCCCATACCACCAATCCAACCCCCCCAGCGTCCCAAAATTCACATTCCCCCTCTCATGATGCGCATCATGCCTCCTGGAAAAGAACGCAAAAACATCATACCCACTATGAGCAAGCACACTCTCCAAAGTCCCCACCATCCAATAAATGCAACAAGTCACAAAATCACACTTCAAAAGCCTAGTCGGCAACCAGAAAGGTATAAGGTTTGAGAAGATGTGTTCGATCGGATGACAGTATTGTGCTGTTAATGCCATGGGGGCTGTGAATTCGTGGTGTTGTTTGTGGATGTGTTTGTAGAGGAGGCGGTGGTGGAGGAGGCGGTGGGTGGAGTAGAAGAGGATTTCGCAGAGGATGAGGCATGCGGTGATGTCTTTGGCGAACGAGGAGATTGAAGGTGGTGTAGCGGAAGACCGTGTGGCGCTTGAGAGTATTGATAGTTCGAGGGCTTTGAGGAGGACTCCGAGGAGCTGATTACGAAGGACGACTTTGATGCATCTCTTGAGCTTTGTGCTGTCTGATTTTCGATTTGGGATTTGAAGTTTGTGTCTTTCGGAGAACGAGGTGGCGAAGTGGTCTAGACGGAGTAAGAGGATCGATGGAAGCCAAAAGCCAAGGATCTGAATGGCAATGATGCCCAGCAGCTCAGTGGTCTCTGGTGAAGCTCTGCTGTACAGTTTGGTCCAGGCCACCGCAAATAGTGAGGCCAGGGCCATCGTGGTCCAAATAGGATTGTCTTGTATCTTTCAATGAATGTTGAGATCAAGTACCAAATGCGCCCAGTCCGTAATGGTACTATGGCCTCGCCTACTCATGCTGTACGAGATATATCCAGCACTCTGTCGTTTGACCACTGTATTCAGCCCATGCATTAATATAGCAATCCAACATTCACGTCGTTCTGCAGTCAGATATTGTAGTGCACAAATGTGCATTGTTTGTCGGAACTCCGTTGCCGCTCTGGTAAGATCCATGTCAGTTTGTCGGGGCGAGGCGAGCACCTTCCGAGGTCATGATTTGTTTGCTCCTCATCTAGGACCATTAGCACGCAAATTTGCGGCCGTGGAATCATTGCTCTGTACAGGTCATATCTCATTAATATGCTGGGGAACTACATACTGTTACAGCACGCAAACTTTTCGCAAATGCTTCTGGGGTATCATCATTGCTCGTTCAATCACTGCGAAAGCTGCGGCTTGTTGGCCGTATTCACGCTTGGAGGCGGTCCTTCTACGTCTGGGTATGGCAATCTCTTCCCCAGCTCCCCAATATTCATAAACGTCATTGGACCTGCGTTTGATGGCGAACTTTGTCGGCCGGGTAGAGGCGGCGGGGAATTGTTTGCTGGATATGGCAGTCCTCCATTGACTGGCGTCTTTGGCGGTACTGGAGGCGGTGAGTCAGGCGGTTGTTGCTGCTGGAGGTCGCCGCTGTGTCGTGGTGAGGGATCGTAAGAGTTGCTCGAAAAGCGAACGGAACCAGAGTTCTCAAAGGATACTCGCGCCGGGTTCTGCTGAGACGAATAGCCTTGAGGGGGGTATGAGTCGTAGCCGTCGCCAGTGACAGTGTACTTCTGATCAGCGATGGATGGTCGGTGCACGTACGAGGAGTTTGCCGAGTAATGCTGTCCAGGCCGATATTGGGAATCGCCCTCCATTTCCACCGCGAAGTTTTGAGGGGGCGGTATCGTGTTAATCGGTCGGTCCCACGGGTTCTGCTGCGCAAATTGGCTTCCGTCTGTCCCAGCATGCTTTCTTGCCTCCGCCCGATCATATCTGATCTTTGCAAAATGAATTTTTGCAATCTTTGAGGCGGCGCTACAGGTCATGGCCTCCACGTCTTTTCTTTGGATGTACTGTCTTGTGCTTGTGCTAATGTCTGCAAGCCTATTCCACTCGTCCATGCCAAACTCGCCCACACCCACCTCCACGTTCAGCCGGAAGTAGTTCTCAGGATTCACGCCTCTAGTGGCGAGATGCTCTCGCAGCATGAACTTGTGAGACTCTTCGCAGCCTTCGATTTTGGCCATCAGCTTCCGTCTAGCTTCAGCGAATTCGCCCATGCTGCCACCAAGAAAGTCCTCCCACCATTCATGCTGGTTCCTGTTGGAGGTCGGGGGCCGTTTCCCAGTACCGATGCTGATGAACACACCCACTTCTCTACCCGGCCATTCGTTGCAGACCGCCTCGTCCAGAACCATTGCTGACGGGTTGTACTTCCCAGCTCCCTCGTCAAGATAGACTGATTGTCCGATTTGAATGGGCTTGAATGCCATTTGTGTAGCAGATGTGGCACGACCTGCCTGCCATATGGTGCAGTTGACATCAGGCGCAGGTTCTTTCCGGCTGTCATAAGATCGCAGCATGTTGATGACCGATGTGCCTCTCAATACCGCGAAGACGGCCGTCTTGGTGCGATTTTCTCTTGTGTCGTAGAGAAGAGCATTAGGATTGCCGCGACCACCAAATGACATGGAGCTACGAGGGTTGCTCATTGGAGTCATGCCAATCTGACTGTATCTGCTGCTTTGACTCAATGTGCGATGCGGTATGGGAGGGATGTTCGGATTTGGAGGCGTGTTGGGTGACATAGGTGTTGCATTCGCCAGGGTATCGTTTCCTTCGTCATCGAAAACTGTATGCTCGCGCACCACCTCTCGAATGACTTCCTCAAGAAGACTGGCCTTGAACATGGTTCCTTTCCATGGCACGCCGAATACGGTCTTGTTGGTCTGAAAGACTCTTCGAGTCATGCGAACGTATACATCTTTGCAGGTGTCGAGATCCAAGCGCAATCTTCCCAGCATGATCGCTATCAGGCCGCCCGTGCCCGTTCCAGCGATCAAGTCAAACATTTGACAAGGCCGAGGAATCTCGTGTCTCTTCGGCGCCCTCCCTTCCATTTCGACGAAAGTTCGGTGCATCAGCTCTTGCAGGATGATGAGCATAGAATATCCACGGATACCGCCGCCATCCAACGACAGTATGCGCAAGGGCGGGCCTTTCGTGGTATCTTTGCGCCCCACGCGCTTGACTGTCACGGTCTCGTCCATTGCGATGTCTGATTGCGGCGCGCGGCTTGGGGGGGGGGTGAGGGGGGGGGGGGTGCAGTTCGTTTCGGCTTCGGTGGTCCAGCGAGGAGTGGGTGAAGAGAGCGAGCAGAGCAGAGCAGAGCAGCGGATGTTGATGTGGATGTGCGCGCAAAGCTTTTCGCGGTTCAGATGCTGGTGATCGTCGTCATCATAATCGTGGTAGGAGTATTATTGAGCCAGTCACTCGGATCGCAGCAGCGTGAGACTCGATCGGTGTCGCCGGCAGAGAAGCGCTGAGCGACTTGGTTGTTTGCCGCGTCACTCGTGTGTGGCTCGTGAATGATGATGTCGCAGATGGCGGCCGTGGCCTTGCAATCTCTGCTTGCATGGAAACCTGTTCATGAATGGGCAATAACGTTAACACGACTCGTTCACGCGATCTCGAAGAAGCTATACCTTTGCCTACATGTATGCGTCCTGGAGCGCTGGGGGGCTGTGCAGTGCACAAAGCAGGTCACGTTTCAGCTCTGCAGGGACATCTCAGCATCTCACCTTGACACAGAAACGTCCTCTTCGATGCAGGCATAGGCGTAAGCATACTGTGTTTTGCCGGAAGGTTGAGAATGCCAAGACTTGGGAAACCCCACCAAGATTTTACTAGCAAATCGACCATTTCGTCCCATACTTGCGCACTATAGCCCTAAATACGATAAAATATATGTTGTTAGTATAGCCGTTGAATATGCAGCTTAAGGTGTTGTTATTATTGTTGTTCTAGCTATTCTAGCTCTTCTACGCCGTACAAGCTCTTCCTACCGCTCTACCTAAGTATACTATTCGACTCGCTAAAGAATACTTCGATAGCGGTTACGAGGTAATTAAGATTATAGCGAAGACAGGTACGAGCTAGTCGACCGTATATCGTTAGAAGTATTATTATAGCTTATTTAGTAAGGTATTCCTACCTTCGGAGAGGTTTAAATTAAGTCGTAAGAGGAGGATAACGAAGGAGATAGAAATCTACCTACTTAAGTACTTGTTAATAAGGCCGGAGGTATATCTCGAGGAAATGTATACTACGCTATACGACCGCTTTAATATTAAGTTAGATCCTTCTACGGTATAGCGCTACCTATATAAACTCGGTTAGAGTCGTAAAGCTACTCGTAAAGTCGCTAAAGAACGTAGTACGCTAGCGAGAGCGGCCTAGCATACGAAGAGCTAGAAATAGCCTATAAATAAGTTAGTCTTTATCGATAAGACTGCCTCTAATAAGAAGACTAGATACCGTAAGTATAAATAGTCTCCGAAGGGTGTCGATTGCTACGACTATTAGTATACGCAACGGTAAGAGCGAATGTCGGTACTTCTAGCACTTACAATCTATAGATATTTGCCTTATATACTCTATATCTAAGGCGCGGTTAACTAGGTTATATTTAACGACTAGATTAAGAATAAAGTGCTACCTCTTCTTAACGATAATATAATTATTATAATAGATAACGCTTTAATCTACTATAGTAAGAAGGTCGAGGATATAATCTTATTAGCTAGCTATATCCTTAAGTATCTACTACTATACTCGCCGGACTTAAATCCTATTAAATAGACCTTCGCTATACTTAAGAAGTAGCTTAAGAAGAACAAAGATCTTATAGAAGATTTTAAGACCTTCTACGACTTCCTTATATAGGCTCTTAATTACGTTAGAAAGATAGATATTACAGGGTTATTTAAATATAGCGGCTATAACGTATAAGGCTTCGAGACTCGCGAGGAAAGCTAGCTTACTAGCAATCTCTAGTCGCTTTAAATTTAACTACTATAATATCGATAATATGTCTTAGTATCTATAGGATGTTAGGATAACGTATATCTAAAGCTCCGCTGCGATTTTTATGTATATAACTAGTATAGTATTAGTATAGCAAAATTAATTAGGTGTTAGTAGGTACTACTAAGCTTTATATATCTCCCTAGCTTCCGATACCGACTTTCCGCTAGCGAGCATTCTCGAAGTAACGACGATAATAGCGACATACGCAACGGAGTATATAGAACGCTACTAGATTCGCTATTACTATATAAACGCCTAACAAATCTAAACTAATAAAAGCGGCCGTCGCTCCGTTATAAATATCGTAATTATCTTACTCCCTCTCGGACAGTTTTTCCTTCTAGAAGCGCTTTAAACAGTTACGCAACGTGCCTAGGTTACCTTTATAGAAGCTAAGCTCCTTCTACTCTCTTATAGGAAGTTGATATAGCTAATCGCAGTTATATCGTTTAGTTACAAAGTGCGCTTCTATTTTTAAGAGTTGCTCCTTATCTTTAGCTTCTTTCTATTCGTATTATAGTACAGCCTATTAGAAGAACTGTCGTAGGAGACTTCTTAGCGGTATATTCAATTGCTTAGCAACTTGCCTTAGAGCAGGAGACTCTTGTTATATCGACTAAGCTTCTTAAACCGGAGCGGCGGCAACGGCGGTACCTAGCTTCTAGTTAACTAATTCGAATATAGCCTATAGAAGGCTAATATAGTTAATAGATTGCGGAGCTAGATATATTAGCGTAGAGCGAGCCTTTGCTACTAGCGTCTATACTTAGAAGGGCTTCTTTAAGGCGGTAAGTAGACTATTTAGTTTACGAGACTGCTGCTTCTCTTTATATAACTATATCTTCGCTAATATACTATATAGCGGCTTCTTAATAGTTATACTATCTTGCTTTATAGCAAGGGTATAAGACTATAGCTTTGTAGCCTTACTATAGAGCTAGTAATAGTATCGATCGATATCTAGCAATCCTTTAGGCTTATAGTAGTAGTTATTATAGTTCTCGTAGCTAGGAAGGGTATATATATAGTTAGCGAGAATCTCGGTAGTATAGTTGCTATCTTTACGCTCTTTAGTAATAAAGGTAAGACCGTCGACATTCTATTAATTATTTAGCTTTAATTTACTAACCTTAAGGATAGCTCTAGCTCCGGTATCTTTAGTAGTAGTCTTAAACTCGATATTAATCTTAATCTTGTCTTTAGTATCGTTTATTAGCTCTACGGCATAGTTAAGAGCCTTGTTATAATCGTCCGCTATAGAAGAAATTAGTATACGTATAGGCTAAGCGGAAATAGCCGATAGGCAAGAGCGATAGCAATAGCAATAGCAATATCGTTACCTTACCTTTCTTCTAACTCTGCTTAAACTAGTTACCCTTCGCTACCTTCGCGGTAGATACGATTAATATATAGTCGCCGACGTAGAGCTGCTTCTTCTACGCTTCTTCGTTAGCCTAATAATACGCATCTTTAGCGTATTAAGTGCTAGCGCTAGTACGGTTATAGTTCTCGAAAGTAAGCTCGTTATTACTAGTAAGAAGGCGCTAGGTTTGCTTATACTATAGGTCCTTACGAGGGTTATAAGAAAGCGTAGAAATATCCTCCTTATTTATCTACTAACTATTAACTAGGCGCCGCGCCTATACTAGTACCTTCGAAGGTAAGATATTAGCTAAACGCGTTAACTCGCTAACCTTAACTTCCTTAGCTATAATATTATCTTCTACGGCAGTAGCGGCATTATTAATCTAGAAGTCCTTATAAGTCGCTACCTCGAAGGCCGTTATATTACTAAACTTCTCCTACTATACTGTCTTCTTCTACTTTCCGCCGACTGCCTTCTTCTCGACTGCCTTCTTCTCGACTACTTTCTTTTTATCTTTCTTAGTAGGCGACTCGCGCCGCTTAACCGCTTCTTTATATACTAGAAGGTCCTTCGAGGCCGCTTTCCGCGATCGAGACGCGCGCTCTATAACCGTATATTCGAGATATAGGCGCTATAATTTAGTTGCTATCGACGTAGCGATAAGAATAGTAACTTTTAGAGATAATAAGGAGGTATAACAAGATATACTAAAGAGGCTGAATTAATGAGCGGTGTAACAGTAACTATAATAGGCCTGAGGAAGTCTAATCTCGGTATTCTAAGGCTCAAAAAACCAAAGTCTTGGCATTCTCAACCTTCTGGCAAAACACAGTAGGCGTATGGACATCTAACTTACCGAGACGCCGGCCACAACTGCGCTGCCGAGAATCCTTCACTACTATTGCCGCAGCAAAGGAGCAGTGAAGTGAGCCCCTCTTCACGTGATCGACGGCGACGGCGATGGCGGCAAGGTAGGCCAGGGCAGGCCAAGATGAGTGAGTGATACGTGATACATACCGTGTGACACACTTCAAAGCTCCACCAATATTCGAGAGCAAGCAAAAGTCGTCAAGCCAAACACGCCGCCACTCTCCGTCGAGCACGAGACTGAGGCAAAATGCGCATTGAGAAGATATATGTCTACCCGGTCAAGGCACTCCGCGCCGTCGAAGTGAACGACTCCATCGTCACCAAACATGGCTTCCCATCCGACAGACGATTCATGCTCCTCCACGTCGACAAAGACAAAGACGGCTCGACCATCTACAAGAACATTCACGTTGCCCTCTATCCAGAGAGCATATTATTCCACCCAAGCCTAGACACCAACGCAGACCTAATCCGAATCGACTTCAAACCACCCAGTGGACGAGAACACAAGACCTTGCACTTCCCACTCCAACCCGTCATCGAAGACCTACAACCCATCCCCATAGAAATGCACCTCTCCGAAGTCCACGCCTACAAAATGCCCCAAAAATACTCAGACTGGTTCAGTTCATGCTACGGCTTCGAAGTTGCTCTCGTGTACCTAGGCCCCCACTACCGAGCAACTCGAATGACCACCGCCCCGATTCCCAGCAAACCCACAGGCTGGCTTTCCACAATCACAGCCACAGCAACCTCCTACCTCCCCTTCCCATCCAACCAAAAGAATCCCACCACCACCACCACCAACCTCCTCACCTTCAACGACTGCGCCCCCTATCTCGTCTGCTCTTCCAAATCCATGGAAGACGTAACCTCCCGCCTCTCTTCAGACCAAGAAAACCTCGACATCCAAAAATTCCGTCCCAACATCCTCGTATCGGGCGCAGAGAAAGCCTGGGACGAAGATTTCTGGTCGCAAATCACCATCTCCGGACAAACGAAGATTGAATGCATACATAATTGTGGCCGGTGCCAAAGTATTAACATCGACTACACCACCGGCAAACTTGGGGAGAAAGAAAGTGGACAGGTTTTGAAGAAATTGCAGAGAGATCGAAGAGTGGATGTAGGGATGAAGTATTCTCCGATCTTTGGGAGGTATTCGTTTTTGAATCCTGAGAGTGAGGGGAATGTGATTAGAGTTGGTGATGAGGTCGTGGTTAGTAGGAGGAATGGGGAACATACCAAGTTTGGTGAGTCTTTTTCTTCTTTCTTCTTGCGAGAGAGATCATTGCTGACTTTTCATTACAGATTGGGAAGGTCTGCATACCCTGCCGAAAACTGCTGTTGCGGCCTGAAGAACCTTTCATGATAGCGATCCATATCACATGGGACTAGGATTGCCACATCCAACTTCCGACCATTCAAAGTCTCTACTACTGCATCCTGGTGTCGTGCTCGGCACTTCCCGACCTTTCCCCTTCGATGCTCCAGCTCGTGTATTTGACGTCTCCCAAACATCTCTGACGCTTTCCAGCAGGTGAATAGCGCTTGCAAGCTCGTGTAAGAGCAGAGGCATCCGATCGCGGTGGTTCCTGGTAAGCTGGAAGATTTCTTCAATGGCCTCGAGAGAGATCTGCAGCTTTCGCATCGTCGTTCGGAGGACTTCCCAGCTGAAGCCCTGCCCGGAGTCTGGAGCATTGGCTGGAGGACCGGAGGACTTCATGCCTTGCAGTGCGGCAGAGAAGCGTCTAACGACAGAATCGTATGAGACGGCGGTGGTATCCAGTTTTGCGAACCCGGGTTTGGTGCCATCTCCGGCTGGCGATCCATCCCAGCCAACACGAATGGTCCAAAGTGAGTCCATGTATGAAGGTGGTAGCCAGCGCATAACGTGGCGAACATCGTTCATGAAGCTCTTCTCGATGCTGCGACATTCTTGATTGGCAGTGACGAGCGCAGCATACATGCTTGCCGCAGCTTGTTCGAAAGAATGTCTACGCTCTGGTGTGTATGACGGTGTAGGCTTGCTGTAGCCATTCGCATGTGCGCCCTGATATTCCATGCCATGAGCAGCAGCTACAGAGCGAGGAATGTCACAGTCGCCGAGCTCTTCCACTCTGCCAGTAGGGAACGGAGAGTGGCTAGGTCCAGGTCCGTAGTATCTTCGATCCCACATCATGTCCTGAAGTGGTGTTGCATGTCCAAAGAAACCACGCAGTGGACTATGTGAGGAGGAAGAGCGTGAACGAGTGAAGGCGCCTGGTCGTCTGGCCCTGTTCTCTGGCATGTTGGACGAGGGATGATTCAAATGCATGGCGCCGAACAAGTCGTCGATACCTGGTATATCCATCTCTTCGATTGCCAATGAAGAGGCCACTCTTCGCATTTCGTAGCGATGAGATTGCTGCTTTGTTGCTAAGGAGTGGAGGAGTGCTGTCACAATGAGTAAAGCCTGCCCTTCCCCGTACTGTGCAACGCTTGTCACCACCAAACACTGGTAGCGATTGTCCCACGAGCTAGCAAGAGCAAACACTGCTGTGGCATGCTGAGTTGAGTGGACTCAGGGTGTGACTCGGGGGGTAGCTGGTACTGTTGAGCTCCCAAATGACGCTACCGCCTTGTTCCAGGTGATCTGACCTCGCTGTCAACGCCGTGGAACCACGAGACGCTTTCTCGCAGAAGCACTGACCTGTGTCTATCGGGCCGAGATCACCAGGATCATTTCGTTCTGGCCTGATCTCTTCGAGTGTGGGTATGCAGCATCTGCCCTTGCAGTGGGACTTGTAGCGACGAGTGCCTCGTTGATTGCCCTGTGCGACATCAGTATGCTTTGTACGGGCAAGTGTTAGTCACCACTTACTCCTCGCGAAAGCCATTCGCTCTGGATGAATTTGGTGCTTTCTACCGTCTACTATCAGTCGTTATGATCACATGTGTTCATGCGTAAGAACTCACCTTGCGTCCACTCGTTGATTTGGTCTCGGAGGTCAATCCAATCGCGATCAGCGAATACTTCAGTCTTTGACATATCTTCAGATTTATCTTGTTCCGCTTCGTGACTGGAACATATATGAGCTTGATCATTCGATTCGGGAGGCGGGTCCTCTCTTACTGTATCATTTCTAGAAGTCGAACCAGACTCCACACGCCTCATGTATTGACTCGAGTTGGGAAGCTGCGGGCCAGCATGCCATATTCCTTCTTGTCGTGGGTTTCGTGAAAGTAGAGTGAATGCAGATTGTCGAATGGTCGGGTTGCGACATCGTGAGATCGCCATCCATAACGGGTCTGTGACCCATAGAGAGAACGACAGGTAGGGGGTACCAGAGTTTGGACCCGAGAGTGTAGGTAATGGAGGACACGAGAATGATGCAAGAACTTCTCGCGCAAGGTCCACGATCGCTCGGAACTCGGCCTCGTAGGCATCATATGCTACTGGTCCAGCGGACTGATCAACAGATGCAAGCATTGTACCGACTAGATGGTTTGCCTTCAGCACCATCGCACGCTTCAAATCCATGTTCGACATGAAGTCGCGCTGATCCGAGAGAAACGCGGTGAAGGCAGCTTCCCATTGTGAGAACCAAGGCGCATATCGAAGATATTTCTCGGCCATGGTCACGGCGATGTGATCGCGTGGCGCAGTCGGATGGAAGCCCTGCATGAAGCGCATGACACTATTCAGCGCAGTATGCAGCGTGTTGTGCGCATGCTCCAGGCTGAATATATAGTCGATGGGAGGTAGAGGCGGCGTTTGACCGGAAGTGTCGATCTCAGGCCGTCTACCCTTATCAAGCAACGCCGTCGCTTGTACTTCGAGGCGCTCTACCAGCGGTCGCATTTGCTCAATGTCGTCTTCTTCTGAGGGTGACATGGTGATGGCATGGGCGCGACCAGTGGCATGCAGGAGTTGTCTGCCTTGTAAAGCGTGGTTCACAGCACTGTCGCATCGCCCTTGCATCGCTTCAAAGCATGTGAACAACACGCACGTGGTCAAGGCTAGTCTCGAGCTCGGTATTCGCCTGTGGTTCGAGTCGTAGTCGCTTCTAGCGTCAGCAGTGAGGCATGAAATTGCTTTGTTACATTGGTTGAGTGCAAATTCCATCGCCTTCGCCTTCTGCTTGTCGTCTGCAAATGCACGCTGCATGATACACTCGTGGAGTGCTCCAATCGCCGTAATGGCGTGTCGAATTGCTGGCTCGTGGTATGATGTCTGAATCACCATGCGTTGCCAGAATGCAGAGTCGAAGAAGCCGGCCATTTGAGGTGCGCTGAAATTGACGAAGAAATTTAGACAATGTCTCTCACGCCAACTCCTCCGCCACTTCATGTCTGGACGGAATAAGGTCAAGCTACCTCCCTCGGCCGAAGGATAAAATATTTGACCGTCTTCATCCTCGCCAGCTCTCACACCTGCGTTCAAGGCCCAGTCATCGGACATGGCCATTTTGCATGCTGGGTTCCTCGGGTCACATTTGATGCCCTTGATACTGCCACATGTCAGATATGTTCATGGAACGAGCAATCTGCTACGTACAGACACGGAATGCAGCCTGTTTGCATCTTTGTTCGCGGTATTTCTTCGACGTCCTCGCCGTTGTCCATGTGAATCGAGCCATTACTATTTTGTGAAGCGAACTCAGGTGTGAGGCCAAATGTTGCAGAAGACAATCCAGAGTCGAGGTCTGGTAGCAGTTCGAGATCTGCTTGGTCCCAATTCAGGTGTGCAGTGTCGTTTATCGGTGTTGCTGCATCCTCCCACGTCCGTTTCCTGCTTCCATTCACAGCATTGCCATTTCTGTGATCAGGTGGAGGTGGTGTCCGCCATTCGAGGTCCACGCCTATCCACTTCTCCGCCTCTTTGTCGCCCATGTCGGTCTCGATGGCGGAAGTAATGGTAGCAATCATGCCTCGAGGCTTGCAGAGCGAAGGATGTGGACTACAGATTTGAGGAGCAGCACAGCACAGCTTCGCTATTCAGCTGCACGTGAAAGGCGCACGCGGCAGGCGATGCAATCGGGTACGTGGGAGCTCATGAAACGTCCAATCGATGCCGGTCGTAAGCAGCGTTTGAATTTGGCCGAGTGTTGCTGCTCTTATCGCAGCGCAATATATAGGATTCCAACAATGGCTATGGGGAGCTAGTATGAACGTAACGGACGCCACAGTGGAGGTGTCAAGGGAAGGGAGGAGAGATGTCGGGGCCAAGGTATAAGATGCACAGCACAGCAGTGACGGGTGACTTCGGTCTTGTGCGTAGGAGCTGCACAGTGTTCTTCATCACGTAGCGTATGTCATCAGCACTACCACCACGTCCACGTCCACGTCTGGCCAGACCTGTTGTCGCTGCCGAATCATCAGTCGTCGCGGCAATGAACCCGCTTGTCGCCAGGATATGTAAGCTTCAATGTCAATGACTCGTGGGGCAGATCATATTCATTTCGCACAACCATTGAACGTCAGACAGAACGACAAGTGTCTCCTGTCTTGCAACAGCCTGACATGCGAGCATGCGTCTATCATGTTCGCGTAGCATAGCAGCAGCAGCAAGCACGCGAGCCCGAGCGCGTCTTCCAATCCCGCCTCCGCCGTCGCCGTCGCCTTCGCCCTTTTCGCGCCATCTCCTCTGTCGGCGAGATTACAGCGCACACTCCCAGCCTGCAAGTCACGATGTCGGAATCCTAGGCGGCGGTATCACAGGTCTGGCCAGCGCCTATTTCCTCCTCCGCCAGCACCCGAACGCAAAGGTCACGCTCTACGAATCAAAAGATCGCGTGGGAGGTTGGCTGGAAAGCAAACGCGTGCCCGTCAAGGATGGAAGTGTTCTGTTTGAAGCTGCTGCGCGCACCCTTCGACCACAGTCCAATGGCGTTCTCACTGCGAGATTGGTAGGGACACCTGCCGGCCTGCGTGCGTGGAAAACGCTAGTGACACCGGGCTGATGGGAAGTAGATGCAAGAGCTAGATCTCGCAAGGGATGCCATATTCACCCAGCGCACCGCCCCCGCTGCCAGCAATCGCTATCTATACTATCCTGACCATCTTGTGCGCATGCCACATCCATCCTTCGGCATGGCAAACAACATTTGGAATCTATCGACGGAGCCAGTCTTCGAGACAGCACTGTGGAGTCTGATCACGGAGCTCTGGAAAGAAGCCAGAGATCCGAGCGTGCAAGATGAAAGCATAGGCAGCTTCTTTTCTCGACGCTTTAGTAGGACCATGGTCGACCGCCTGCTGTCTGCAATCATCCATGGCATCTATGCTGGGGATGTGTGGAAGCTGTCGGCAAGGAGTCTGTTTCCTACTGCATTCCGCGACGAAACCCTGCACGGTAGCATAATATATGGCATGTTCAAGGCAAGAGCTGATGGCATTGAAATGACCAAACGTGAAGCGGACTTTCTGCAAGATATGAAAGGCTTTGCATGGGATCCTCTGTTGAAGGCGACGCTGAAGGACACATCGGTCTTTACATTCAAGGACGGCATCGGCATGCTCCCGGAGGCAATCTATGCCTGGCTGTTCGGATGTGGTCGCGTCGAGTTCAAGACGGGCACTCACGTGGACAAGATCGCGCAAGCAGAGGACAACAGTGGGATCGTGGTGACACATAGTCAGGCCGCCGAGTCGCGGACACACAGTCATGTGATATCTGCTCTCTCACCGACGCACTTGAACCAGGTCTCGGGGAAGGACTTGGTGATGTCTCCTGCAACGGTGACTGCCATGTCTGTCAACCTCTACTTCCGCACGCCGAATTTGCATGAGCCTGGCTTTGGCTATCTTATACCCAGTGCGACTCCGTTCGCGCAGAACCCTGAACGTGCTCTCGGTGTGGTCTTCGATAGCGCGTACTCACCTTCGCCAGCTGATGTCGATGCGGGCAACTGGCGCGAATTCAGTGCTGAGCAAATGGAGATGTTGAAGGCAGGGCGAGAAAGTGGTAAGCAACTAGTCAATGTCAACGACTTCGCTTGGTACAACATGCCAAAGCCACCAAACCTACAGGATCATGTTCCACAACGAGGCACGAAGCTCACTGTCATGTTCGGTGGACACTGGTGGGATGGTTGGCCTGCATACCCCGACGAGAAAGAAGCACTGAGCATGGCACGTTCTGTCCTTGAGCGCCACCTGGGCATTAAAGAGGAAGCCGAAGCGTGGCAGGTCAATTTGCAAAAGGACTGCATCCCGCAATACCATGTCGGGCACGAACAGAAGCTCAAGGATGCTCACAATACCATCTGGCGGGAATACAAGGGCCGACTACGCGTGGCTGGAAACTGGATGTGGGGAGTAGGGGTAAATGACTGCCTACGGAGCGCATATGAAGTAGCGAAGAACATGGATCGCGATGCAACCGGACTCGAGCATGTCGGCGAGGCAGCGACAGTTCGACTGAAAGCATTGAAGCCTGGTCAGAGAGCGAGTGAAGATGGATGATGGATAAATGTGTACATATCGATACTTGGCCATAGAAACAAAGAGCATTATTCTGATGAGTCTGCCTGCCTGCGGAAAGCAGCAGCAGATTGGAGCGCGAGTTCTGTGTGGCTATTGCAGGGGAACGCCGTCGGTCGTCGAACATGAAGTCTGCGGTCCAAGTCACTGTTTGGAGTACGTCACTGTCACCGCGCCGCACGAGCAAGAGCACGAGCTGCCGTCTGCCCAACTTTACACCCAGCCTCTTTCGGCGTCATCAAGGCTTCCATTGTCGACAATCTTGGAAGAGACAATCTTGGAAGACAGGTTTGGACAGGGTTCTGTATGTAGATGTCCGCTCTGCAGCTGCATACCCGTACATCCCGGCAGACCATGGCCGCATGTTTTATGACGCACACCGTGACCGGCGCTTTCATTAACCCAACCTCAGCGCAGTACTCCATCCTGGCCCTCGCCAAATGGCCTTCACTACAAGCTCCACAACGACTTCGTGGCATCGGCGAGGCGAGGCGCTAGACAAGCACTCGATTGGTAGGCCCGAACCTTCGGGAGTCGATCCGCAACAACGACATAACGTGCAATGGCAGTTGCATATGCCTCTACTGCAAATGATTAGTAAGTATACTAGCTCTATCATTTAGCATGCTATAATCACGGAGCAGCCGCCGTTCTACGGGGTCTCTGTGCCTTTATATAGCCTAGAACTTTATACTATCGATAGGACGTTAATATATTAGATAGAACCTTTATTCCCCTAGTTTACTTATAGTATAATAAGTATAATTATATATATCTATATCGAACTTAGAATAGTTGTTATAGGCTATTAAGGTATAGTCGCTATAGTTAGGTATACTTTTATACTATACGACTACTACTATAAGTAGAAGTAGTAGAAAGAAGTATATAGTAATAGGATCTTCGAATATAATTTCTAGTAGCTATATAGTTTAAGTATTAATCTATCGGATAGGAAGTTAGGAAACTAAGCTAATATATATATATATATATATATATATATATATATTAGAGCTATAGGCTCGTCTAAGGACTAGGCTAGCTAGATAATATAGTATAGGATATCTCTTATATATTTCTAAGAGCTTTGTTTATAGCAACGAAATTACTAGACTAGGAAGGGACTAGTAGGTAGTAGATAGGGAGTATTAGTAGATAGTATTATAACTAGGCATTTAGAGGCCTATACTATACGATCGATAATAAAGCTCTAATAGGGCTTCTAATACTAATTAGTTAGACGGTTAGGAGCTTAGAGCGAATACGAAGTAGATAGGCGAAGGATTTTAAAGCCCTCGATTAGATTCTTAAGGGCTAGAATATCTATATTCGAGATACTAGTAGGTAGGATAGATATTCTAGTAGGATCGATATTCTTAGTATCCTCTATAAGCGTTTCTATATATATAATATACCGCTATTATACGTCGCTATATAGCGCGCTTTAAATACTTTATTAGCCGTACGGGATTAAAGTTTTCGAAAATTCTATTAGTACTAGTCTTATAAAGCGCTTGCTTTAAGTTACGTATATATTCCTATACCTTTTACTAGTTTTTAGAAACCGATAATTTCTATAGTTAGAACCTACTACTCCTATAGTAACTTAGTAAACTAACCTAAACTAAACTAGAATCTCGGCTTAGTAAACTAAACTTAAATAGCCCGAACTACTATAGGGTCTACCGAAGTAACCGAACTATACCCTAATTTCGAACTATATCTATATCTCTACTAAACCTCCGCTATCTAATTGTCTTTATATAGGTTTATCGCTACTACTCTAATCTTATAGTCCTAATATATTACCTTCGCTATCTTATCTCTATAAACTAATATTCTACTTCTTATCGCTATTAATTCTCGATCCGCCTTAGTAATCTCTTCCTCGATAATTCTATCTATATCGAAGCCCTAGTTATAGTCTTCTAGGTTCTAGCTACTAGTAAAACGTCTCGGTTCCGACTATCTATTTATAGCGGTTTACCGTTTATAGGGCTATAAAGAGCGGCGAGTCTATATACAAACTACGACTATTAGAGTATAGTATAGCCCTTATTTAGACTAATTCTAAGCTATCGCTCCTTATTAATACTAGATATCTGCTTAATATAGTTATAAAGCTATAAATAGCGTAGGTTAAATAGCTCTTCCTTTATCTCTAGCTTTATATTAGAAGCCTTCTATTCTTAAAGGTAGTATCTTATTTTCTAGTATAGTACTAATATATAATCTAGGTTCTTCGAGTATCTACTATCTACTAGGTAGAACCTATTGCCTTCCTTTCGATATATATATACCCTTCGAATCCTATCGCGACGCCTAATATAGTACTATCTATTATAGACCCCTCCTATCTAGTAATATCTATATATAAAGTTAGACTAGAAGTTATAATAGAGTAATATATTCTAAGTAACGGTGCTCTTACAATTACAATAGGCGCCTAGATTCCTAGTATTTAACGCGTCTTATAAAGTAGGTTCTATCTTATAGACAAGACGGTTGTCTTATATAATAAGACGAGCGGTATATTTAGGGCCTCGTAGCTCCGTACATAGCACCGCTTCTAGTCTAGATAGCCTGCTAGGTAAGGTACGTCCTATACTCCTTGTCTTAAGTAGAAGGCGTATTAGGCCTTAAATACCTCGCGTTGTCTTATTAATAAGACAGTTATCTTCTATAAGACGGCTGTTTTAAAGTCGTTGTTTTATCTTAGCGTGTCTTATCCGTCTTATAGGTATTTAACGTATCTTATCTATAATTAGCCTCTTAGTACTCGCTCGTAACCTTACTCTATAACTCTTTAATAATTCCTTGCTCTTTGTATACTATAGACTATAGATTAAACGGACTGTAAGGAGTTAGTATTGCTACTATCGATAAAGACGATAATTAAGGTTGTTAAGTTAATTATTAACGAAGGGCAGCGTCCGAAGTATAGGCCGAAGGGTATAATAACGACTCTCGTAGCGCTAGAGTTAGGCTCGTAGTAGATATAGATAATACTTCTTAGACCGCCGGTATACTGCTATACGATAACGAGGCTTCGATAACCGGTCCTAAAGGCACTAATTAATACACTTGTCGAAGATTATAGCCTTACCGGGGGTTATAGGATCTTACCTACCGAGCAAGTAATTATATTCCTTAACTACGCCGGATATAAGACAACTAACAATTAGCTCCGCCTATTGTATTAATACTCGCTAAGAAGCTATCGACGCGCTATTTTAAAGATTAGTATACTATTATACTAGCTGTTTCGAGATACGGCTTAGTAGCTAAGTAAGGATAATAGAACCTCCGCGGAGATTATCGATAATCTAAAGATATAGCTATACTTCTCGTATTGTATTAGTGCGCTTAATAGCACTTATATTCCTTTTAAACTAAGGAAGATAGCAAATGCTAGCGCCTATCGTAACCGGAAGGCCCGGGAAGGGTAGTGTTTCGTAGAATGTATTAGCGTATATCGATTTCTATAGAAACTTTACTTATATTCTACCTAGATAGGAGGGATTAGTAGTAGACGGCACTATATTAAGTATAGCGATAAAGAAGGGGTTAAAGGTGCCTCGAGGTAGGTTCTATCTCGCTAATAGTAGATATTCGAAGAATCTCGACTATATACTAGTTGTTAGGACTAAAGAGGTTATACGTAATTGGTATATAACCGGGCTCGAGTGAAGCTAGGGTCTTGATGCCTTAGGCAGGGCTTGGCGCTTAGCAGTAGGCTAACTTGCCTGCCTTCCTCCCTCTCCTTCTTACTCCTTATCGAATACTACTCGTACCTACTACCACCCTATCTACCTGCTAATATAACCCTTCTTATATAGTATTCGATCCACCCTTTAAGGGCAGCAGCTAGATAGTCCTTATTTCAAGTTTTTAGCGGTATAGCTACGAACAAGACTAATCTAACTATATTGCGCCCGAAGAACGGGACCTATACGTACTATTCTATAAAAACAACCGTACCAATTATTAAGCAAGGCCTTTTACACGGCCTATTATACTAAGTTAAGCACATTAGACCGATACCTACTAATTCCGCTATATCCGTATCTTAGGGGCTAACAATATATTATTAGTGCTACCCCTTACAATAGCCGGTTTATTACGAAACAACAACCGCGGCGCCGCTAGCAGCGCTAGCAATAACAACGCTAGTGGCACAGTGCCTAAAGTGCCTACTAAAGCACCTACTGAAGTGCCTCCTGCCGAAGAGCCTACTATAGGACCTACTAAAGAAGAACCTATAATTCTAGGTAATAATCTAGAACTGCCTATTAACGACATTCTTAACAACATTGTTAATCGTCGATATAGCTAACTAGCCTTTAGCCCCTAGCCGATAACGAGACTTTAAGAAGCTACTTAGAACAGGCTTACTGCCTTACGTTAAGAACAATAGCTAAGGGATAACCTCCTCGAAATTCATCGCCTATAGGAAGCCTTAGTAACTAATGCTAAGCTAACAGCAGGACCTTCCTTACTAGCTATTTAAAAGAAGGATACTAAACTTAAGGATTGCACTGTGTTTAATAGCTCTAGCCGCAAGCAGTACAATAATTACATCCGTAATTGTAAATTGAACTAGCGGAATGCACTAAGGGCCCTACTAGATGACTATTTATTAGTCGTCTACGCTATGCAATATATTAATAGCGACCTAAAGCGCACCTAGGATAACTATTTCGACTCCCTTACTAATTAGACCGCTGTTTAGTAGCAAGACTACAAGACTATTATACTAGACACCCTTAGAAACCCTATACTAAGGCAACAACACGCTTAGGACTAATACCTTCGGGCTAAACAAAAGACTGATCAATCGGCTCGCTTATTTAAGGCCTATTTAAAGACCCTCGAGGACGATTTGCTAGCTAAGACCGACTCTATCTAGATTTCCGAAATACGCCCTAAATTGCGATAGGAATTGGTCCTTAAATTAGACCGCCGTCGCGTGTTCGAATAGACTAACCTAATACGCATTTAGTTTATAGTCGAAGTAGAAACAGCCGAACGAGCTGTTTAGCTTTAGTAACGGCTAGAATCGAGGATCCGACTAACTAGTACTAACCGTAGCAACCGTAGTAGCCGCGGAGGAAACTAAGGCTCTACCTAAAACAACAATACTAACAATAGAAACAGTAACAGCGACCGTAGGAGAGGCCGTAGCCGGCGGCTATATAGAGGAGGCCGCGATAGGGGCCGTAGAAGGGGCTCGTATCCCTATAGTACTAATCGCTTAACTAACAATAGCAGCAATAGCGGCTATAGCAACCCCCTAACTAGATTAAAGTGCTTCAATTATAATAGCACTAGCTATCTACTAGGCTAATGCGACAAACCTAAGGATTAGGCCCGAATCGACCGTACTACTACCGAGCACCGTAAGCACCTTTTAGCCGCTAATGCTACCCCTATCGGTCCTTCGAAAAAAGAATAAGCGCCGCACTAACTGTTAGCCTTGTGCGGCGTAAGACTATCGACATTGTGCTAGCTATTACGCGTACCGGTCTCGTATCGGACACGTATAGGACTAACTATAAGACTAAGGTTACACTAGATCTAGGAAATTTAGTTAGTGCCCTTATTAGCTATCGCCTAGCTAAGCAATTAGACCTTCGATAACTGCCTAGGACTAACCTGCCAACCCTTGCTTAGTTTAATAACGCTCGGCACTTAACCTACGGAGCCTACTATATCTATATAGCCCTAAGAGACGACCTCGGCAATAAGCGCCTACTGAACTTTACTGCCTACGTAGTAGACATAGACAGCCTCCTATCTAAGATTGTTATTAGCAACCCTATTCTTAAGTACTATACTATAGTTATAGACTTAGGCAGTTAATAGTAGCGATTTAGGATCGCTAGGAAAGAGGATATTGAATACATCGATGTTAGCGAGTGCCCTAATAATATTAGGGTCCTATTTATTAGCAACCTAACCCTAGCTAATCCGACGGCCGACCTGCTCGGTAATAATAATAAGCCTATGCCCCCTAATGGTATAGATCCTAATTAGCTTGCTCGTATACTAGAGCCTATCCGAGAGACCTATATTGATGTGTTTAAATACTACCTAGCATCGACATTGCCTATATTTAAAGAGACGGATTATAAGATTGATATTATAGAGGGTAAGGAGGTTCCTTTTAGACTACTCTACAACCTTAGTAAGCGCGAGCTTGCTATATTGCGTAAGTATCTAGAGGAAAACCTAGCTAATAGGCGTATTCGGTATAGTAATAGCCCTGCCGGTATATCTATCCTGTTCGTGCTAAAGAAGGATAGTAGCCTGCGCCTATGTGTCGACTATCGTAGGCTTAACGCTGTTACTATTAAAGACCGCTGTCTACTTCCGCTTATTAATAAGACCCTCGATCGCCTTTCTAGCGCTTACTACTATACTATATTAGATATTAAGGATGCATACTATCGCATCCGCATCCGTAAGGGTAATAAATAGAAGATAGCCTTTCGTACTCGCTATAGCTATTTTAAGTACTTAGTTATACTATTCGGGCTAGCTAATGCCCCTACTATATTCTAGTCCTATATCAATCGGGCCCTATTAGGCCTATTGGATCACCTCTATATAGTTTACCTAGATAATATCCTAGTTTATATACACTCTCCTAACATTGCGGAATACTAGGCTATAGTACGTAAGGTCCTCGACCGCCTACGAGCCTATAGCTTATATTGCAAGCCTTCTAAATGCACCTTTGCTACTAAGGAGGTGTTATTCCTCGGCTTCCTCGTATTAACTAAGGGTATTAAGGCTAATCCTAATCGGATTAAAACCATTACTAAATAGCCTGTTCCTACGTTAATTAAGGAGCTATAGTCGTTCCTCGGTTTTGCTAACTTCTATCGCCGATTTATTAAGGGCTATTCGAGGCATGTAATGCTACTAACTAAGCTTACTAAAACCAAGGCTAACCTAACTAGAGAGTTTAAATAGACTAACAGAGTATAAGCCGCTTTTAACGGTTTAAAGAAGCGCTTTACTAAAGTCCCCTTATTGCACTATTTTGTACTAAGCAAGCAGATCCGTATTAAGACTAACGCTTTACAGTTTGCTATATTAGCCATTATATCACAATAGGCTAATAACAATTACTAGTACCCGATTACCTTCTTCTCGAGGAAGATAATTGATGCTAAGCGTCGCTACGAGACCTACGAGCAAGAGCTCCTAGCTATTGTCGAGGCCTTTAAGCACTAGAGGCACTACCTCGATAGGGCTTAACATACAATATAGGTCTATACAGACTATAACAATCTCCGTAGAATTACGAAGGTTACTAGGGTTATAGGTCGATAGGCTAGATAGGCCGTCTACCTCGCTAGGTTTGATTTTAATATATTATATCGGCTAGGCGTAAGTAACCCTGCTAATAGCCTATCGAGGCGACCTAATTACGATAGCGGGACTTAGCAATCTATTAATTCATTGTTTCTAACCCTATAGTATAAGATTGCTATAGCCTGTATTGTTAATAAGCACGCGTAGGATAAGCGGCTTACCGGACTCCGCGACGGCTTAAAGCATGTTAATGCTCTTGCTATATTAACAGTGCGTATTAAGGCAAGAGCTAAGGACACAGACAGGAGAAGTTATAATAACTCCCTAGTCGATATCGCTATATATAGTAATAGCGATTAGAGCACTAATACAGTTAATCCGGCTGCTAGTGCTATTAGATACATATAATGCGTACCTCGTTTAATAGCGAGGGTGCTATTAAATAACCTTGCAAATAGGGATAGTTAATCGTTTATAGATGAGCTATTACGGGCTTAGTAGAGGGACGCCTTTGCTACTAAACGTATAGACAAGCTTGTAAGTAGGCGAAAGACTCGATCTAGTAAGAGTAATTAGTCGATCGACGACAAAGGTTACTTAAGGTTTAAGGGTAGATACTATGTCCCCGCTAAACAATCGATTAGACAAGAACTTCTTAAGCGACACTATAATAGTAAGCTTGCCGGTTACTATAGTACAGAGAGGTCGTACGAGTTACTATCGCGTATATACTACTAGCTAAATAGTAAGCGGGACATAAAGGACTACGTAAACACGTATGCCGTATGTTAACGAGTTAAAGCACTAAAGCACTTACTATTTAGCGAGTTGTTTTTACTCCCTGTTCTAAAGAAGCCTTTTGTAGAGCTTATAATAGACTTTATTACAGGTCTTCCCCCTACTAAGCGAAGAGGAAGCAAGGACGTCTTTAACGCTATATTAGTCGTTGTAGACCGATTCACTAAGGGTGCTCGTTACATTCCTGCCCGAAAGGATTAGACGGCTATTAACCTAGCTAAGTCGCTATAGAACAACATCTTCTATAGCTATTAGGGGACCCCTAAGAGGATAGTCTCCGATCGAGGCCCGATATTTATATCTTACTATTAGAGTGAGATTTGCCTATAGCTAAGACTCAAGCATCGCCTATCTATAGCATTCTATCTACAAACAGATAGTTAGACTGAAAGGCAGAATGCTACCCTATAGCAGTACCTACGCAGTTATATTAACGAGAACCCTAACGACTAGGTTAACCTCCTATAGCCTGCAGAATTCGTATATAATAACAGTGTCTACTCATCAACTAAGGTGTTACTATATATAGCTATAATGGGCTAGAACGCTGCTATGCTACAAGACCTATC